GCCTCGTTCCCTATTTAGGGCTCCTTAGATCAACGCCCCGACTGCCAGTCTGTCCTCGCGCGTCCCGTCACCGGTGGCCCCGCTGGGCCGGCGGGACCCCTGCGGCTGGCGGAGCGCCCCCCCCCCCGGGGGGCGGAGAGGCCGACTGCGCTCGGGTGCGCGGCGCGGGGCAGGCCGCTAGCCTGCCCCTCTCGGCCGTGCCGCTGGCGGTGCTGTTTCCGTCGGGCACGTCCCTCTACAGGAGGAGTATTCAAACATAGTTTAAAAACATCGTATGGGGACGAATTTTCGATTATTCTTTTTGACTATTTGGAAGTATTTTGGGACTCTTTGTTATTTTTCCGCCCCGAAGCCACCTGTAGGCGGACACGCCCGACCTGAAGCCAGGTGAGAAGGCGGCCCCCGACGCTCGCATTGACCGGGGTTGGGGCCCCGGCGTCCCCCTCTCACCGCCGGGTCTCTTGCTTCCCGGCCCCCCCTGGGTTCTGCTGGTGTCGCGCTCCCATCGCAGAAGGGGGCACCAAGTTTCCGGGAGTGGCAGGTGCCGTTCGTACAGGGCCCCCCAGCACCGCCACCCATTTATCGGGGGCCCCCAAACGGGGTGGTGACCGCACCGTCTGGTGAGTCGGTGGGGATTCGGGGTCACCGCACGGTTTTGGGACTCGGGTCGTTCTCCGAGGACGTCTCGGGCGACTGGGGCAACCGAGGTCCCAAAACCGTGCGTTGACGGACCGTGCGGTGAGGTCTTGGGGGATTTCGAGATCACCGCACGGTCTGCCACCGCACTGTTTCGGGACTCCAACATTCGCCCCATTCATCCCCTTTGCACCGCTCTCGCGCCGGTATTCGGGCCCATCATGTGTATCCTTTTCGTTGCCCGACGACCGGCCACTTGGGCTCGAGCGCTCGGCCGCTTCTGGATAACCCACCCACAGCCACCCTGGGGCAGCAAGCCCCTGGGAGTGACAGGTGCCCTGAGTGCAGGGTTGGAGGGCAGGCCGGAGAATTATACACTATACTCAAGTCTGGTATGTCCCTCTACAGGAGGAGTGCTCAAACATTGTCAAAATGTGGGGACGTTTGCTCGATTATTTTCGACACGTTTTGAGCACGTTTGGCCATTTTTAAATTTTTCGTCTAAAATCCGTCTGTAGGAGGACACGCCCGACCTAACACTACACGTTGCTTTGTTGCGTTCGTGCGAGGCCCCGTAGGGGCAGGGGCCCAGATACCTTCGTGCATACACGCGCGGCTCCCCATAACGGGCGCGAGGGGGGGGGGGACGGGGGGGGGGGAGGGAGAGCCCGTCGTGTGACGATCCTCGCGGGCGCGGCGGCCAGGACCGCTCAGGAGTGGCCGATCCCCACACGGCGCCGGCGCGATCCGCGACGTGACCAGGGGACGGGGGGGCGGGGCTGGTTACGAGTGCCATCGCGAAGCGTAGGAAACGGGCTCGTGACACAACCCTGCTGTTGTATATCTCAGGAGGAAAAGAAACACGCAGACAGAATTAATCGTCGACTCTCCAGAAAATATAGGAAAACATGGGAAGTGGGGGGGAAGACAAAAACCCAGAAAATATTGGGGGGGGAGACAAAATATAGGAAAATATTGGGAATCTGGTTAGTAGTGTATACTTATTTGTGTGTCCCAGGGCCCCTTCAATATCGTTCGGGGCGTCGGCCGGTGAAGCTCGCGAGGGTGGTCGGGCCCGTCGGCCCCGCCTCCTGCCTGGTGCCTCGGCCCGTCGAGGCTTCGCAGGGGCTCGCTGGGGCGCGCCAGCCCAAGCAGAGTCAGATTTCGCGGGTCGTGCGTTCACCAGATGCAAGTCCCGTCGAGCCTGTGGACGAAGCAGCCCTGACCCAGTCGAGCCCGGATCCGAGATCTGCCCGTGATGAGGAGTCAGGATCTTCGGCGCACGCACCTCATGTAACGCCTGGTCCTCCTCTCCTCCTCCTCCTCCTCCTCCTCCTCCTCCTCCTCCTCCTCCTCCTCCTCCTCCTGCTCCTCCTCTTTCCTCCCCCTCCTCCTCCTCCTCCTCCTCCTCCTTCTCCTCCTCCTCCATCTTCTCCTCCTCCCCAGACGTCTTCGAATCGCGACAATTTTGGATGTCCTGTTGCCAGACCCTGAGACCGTCAACAGCGACTTGGGAGAAAGAGCAGATCTTGATGAGAAGGCCTGGGTGTCCGTGTTTCGACGCCGTGTGCAAGTCACATTGTTTGGATGACCCCGTTCTCCTCCCTCCTCCCTCCTCCTGCTCCCCCTGCTGCCCCTCCCCTCCCCCCCGCACGCACCCGTGCTGTCTCGAGCCACTTTGGCCCAAGCCGCTCCGCCCAGAGGCCAATGCCCGCTCGAGCCGGAGCTGCCCCCCTCGCTTTGGCGACCGTGCTGCTGCCGCGGCGCGGGCGACGTCCCCAGACCCCTTGGCGTCGTGGTTCTTTGTTGACAGCCTGGGCCCCTGGAGGTCCTGGCCACTTCACCGTGCCTGGCCTCATGGGCCTTTTGTCCACCACCACCACCACCATAAGTTGGAGGGGGGAAGGAGAAGGAGGAGGAGGAGGAGGAGGAGGAGGAGGAGGAGGAGGAGGAGGAGGAGGAGGAGGAGGAGGAGGAGGAGGAGGAGGATCCCTCCCCCTCCTACCGATGGTGGTGGTGGTGGAGGACAGGCCCACCCTGGCCTGCCATTCCGAGTCGTCGTTCGGCGGTCCTCGGAGGGACGCCGGCAGCACACCACCACAGGCCCTGGCCAGGCCCATCGCGGGCCCTGGAGCAGTGCATAGACCTAGAGGCCTGGGCCAGGAGGGCCTGTAGACACACACCAGACCAGGGCCCAGGAGGGGCCTGGACAGGGCCGGTGGCGGTGCGTTGGCTGGAGCTTTCCTGGGCCCTGGGGCCCAGCAAGGGCCCCCAGGGACTGGAGCTTGCGGACAAGAACCGCTGAGACTTCTTCATGGCCTGAGGGGTCTGGGTCCTCGGCGCTTCCAGCCGCTGGTGGTCCTGGCCGCCCTGGCGGCGCTCGCCGCGGCGGCCGCCGCCGGGTCGCGGCCGGAGCACCGCTTGTGCCACGCCGCTGCCGAGCATCGGACGGGGCCGGGCTGAGGATAGATCCTAGAGGGGAGCGGAGAATGACATAGATAAACATGAAAACTCGGAGGTCCGCGCGGATTTCTCGGATCCGCGCTGGGCCCCCCCCTGGCGGCGCTTCCAGCGCCGCCCCTGGCGCACTCCGCGCGCCAGGGAGGGCGATCCAGCGCGGATCCAAGACATCCGCGCGGACCTCCCAGACCGTTCCGTAGCGCTCTCGGAGCGTTGCGGACCGCTCCGAGAAGGCCGCCGCGCCCGAGGCATCCTCCGGAGCCGCCGGATCTCAGCGGCTCTCGCCCGATTGGATCCCGGACCCCCGCCCTGGCTCTGGATCCGTCTGGATCCTCGCCCCACTGGATCCTGGATCCTCGCCCGAGGTTTCCTCGCCCGATCGGATCCCCGCCCCGGCTCCGTCTCGGAGCAGCCCGCCCCCGAGGGCGCCGAGCGGTTCGCGGTCGCGCTGCTGCTGTGCGCTCTGGCGGCCTTCGGGCTGGGCGCGGTGCGGGGCGCCGCGGGCGGCCCGGCGTCGCGGGGGGCGGGCTCGGGCGCCCGGGGCGGCGGCGGCCTGGCCCCGTGCGGAGGGAGGAAAGGGCGCGCCGCGGGGCAGGAGCTCTCGGGGGGCTCCGCGCGGACTTCGGGGGTCGGCGCCCTCCCCAGGCCTCCCTCCCTCCTCCTCCTCCTCCTCCTCCTCCTCCTCCTCCTCCTCCCTCCTCCTCCTCCTCCTCCTCCTCCTCCTCCTCCTCCTCCTCTCCTCCTCCTCCTCCTCCTCCTCCTCCTCCTCCCTCCTTCCCTCCTCCTTCCTCCTTCTCTCCTCCTTCCTTCCTCCTTCCTCCTTCCTCCTCCTCCCCTCCTCCTTTCGTCCTCCCTCTTCCTCCTCCTCCGCCTCCTGATCCTCCTTCCTCGTCCTCCTCCTCCTCGTCCTCCTCCTCCTCCTCCTCCTCCTCCTCCTCCTCCTCGAGTGCGTGGTCGACGGCAGGATTGATTTGCTCCAAAAGGGTTTTTCCGTCGCATCTGCGGGAAGCGCGTAGGATGTTCAGTAGATCTGCTGAACAGTCTGCGTATTTTTTCGCAGATGCGACAGGAAAGCCAATTTTGGGGTAGACGAATTCTGTAGTCGATCCCCTACTCGATAGCAGGAGATCGACTGCAGAATTGATTTACCCCAAGCTTGATTTCTACGTGGAGTCACCGACAAAACTATTCATACTGTTCGTGGATGCGCGCTCACTCTACGTGTTGTTTGTAGATTCGACGGAAATTTGTGTTCTGTGGCAAGTCGATCGCCTAGTCGAATCCAGGTATCCTTTTCACACCCTTCGCAGCTTACGTCGCAGTGGCTGCGGGGGTCGAGCCAGATCTCCACGAGCCTGGCACCGTGCGTGCAGTGCCAGGGGCGGCGGCCCGTCCTCCCACCCCACCATCACAGCGGGACGCGAAGCCCCTGACGACGGGACGGGGTGGGCACGTGTGGGCATCATGGCCGGCCCAAGATCAAGGGAGGCATCCTAGCCGCATCATCGGCGCTTCTCCCTGGCATTCGGCTCCTGCGCAGCAGCATGCTCTGCCCGCTCTCCCCCGGGGCGGCGCCCCAGGCGCCGACCCTGGCGCGCTGCGCACGCCGGGGAGTGGAGCTTGGCGCCGACCCCCAGTCATCGGATGTCCTGATCTTCAAGTCCGCGGGTCCCCGGAGGTCTGGACTTTTTCCCAGAGGCCAGCTCCTCGCTCTGAGCCGTTTCTTGGCAGTCCCGGGGCATGGCGAGGGCACCCTGAGGCCCACAATAGTGGAGGACTTCCGGAGTGAAGAAGGTGTGGGAGGTCTGGGTCCGAGAAGTCCGAGCGGAGTTCCGAAATCTTATGCCTGTGGCATTTTTTGTCCCTCTGGCCCGTGCCGCACGAGCACCGCCTCGCAATACCGGCTGAGGTGCGCGGAGAGGGTCACGGGGCACCTCAGCGGGGCCTGCCCAGTGAGGCTTATCGTCTTCGACCTGGACGAGACGCTCACGATGGCGACGTTCATGGCCTCGGACGGCAGCTGCCTCCCGCGCGAGCGAGAAAAAATCCGAAGAAGACACGCATACGCGCAAAAGCACACCGTCGGAGCCCCGCGCGGATCTCCCGGACCGGCGCGGGGCCCCTCCGGGCGCGCGGCGCGCGCCAGGGGCGCCGGAGGCGCCGCCCCGGGGGGGCCCAGCGGCGCCGAGCCGAGAGGTCCGCGGGGACCCTCCGAAGGCTTCTGCTCGCGCCGCCGTGTCTCTTCTTCCGGCCGTGGCGGAGGCGAACTTCGAGTCGCCCTGGGTGGACGGCTCGAGGCGTCGGGGGCCACCTTAGGCGAGCCCTGCCCCTATACCCCCCCACGATTTCTCCGAGGGGGAGGGTGGGGCTCACACTTCGTTCGGGAGCTCCCGAGCGGAGTGAACCCCACCCTCCCCAGCTGGGGCAGGCGCCCCCCCCCCAGAAGATGCCCACCCCACCTCCTCCCCCCCTCTGGGACGTCGACCAGCCACCTCCCCGACTGGGGTAGGCGCCCCCCCTCCCAGAAAATGCCCACCCCACCTCCTCCCCCCCTCTGGGACGTCGACCAGCCGGGTCGAGGAGGAGGGGGAGGAGGATGATGATGATGATGATGAGGATGAGGAGGAGGAGGAGGAGGAGGAGGAGGAGGAGGAGGAGGAGGAGGAAGAGGAGGAGGAGAGAACTTTCTTCCTCGGACTCACTCTCTGGGACTTCGAACAGTCGGGGCAGGGTTCGCACGTGGCCCCCTCGAGGCGGGCCAAGCTCCAGCGCATGCTCGAGGCGCTGGCGCGTGGCCCGGGCGGGCGCCGCAGGTTCCTGGCGGTGCTGACCCGCAACGCCAACGCGGCCGGCGTCCTGGCCGTGGTGAACTTGCTCAAGGCGGGCGGGCTCGCAGAGTTCTTCTCGGCGGCGAGCGGGGGGGGGAGGGGAAGTTTCGGGTTCGAGGTTCGAGGTTTTCGGACGTTCTCGTCGGTTCTCGACGGTCTTCCAGCCTCGGGGTGCGTTCCAGCGGCTGCGCCTCGGCGAGAGTGTTCCAGGGGTGCCGGGATCGTCCCGAAGGGCCGCCGGAGAGCTTAGTTATGACCCGAAACCCACCAGGCGTCCGAGAAGGAGACGGCCTTCTCAGAAGGGGCGGGACTTCTCAAAAGCCCTCGCGCCTTCTGAGAGGTTTCTTGTGTCTTCGAGGGAGGCTTAGAACACTTCTCAGAGGGCCGGGGGGCTTCCGAGCCTTCTGAGGAGGCCTTCTCCTTCTCGCTCCCCCCCTTGCTCGCCGCCGATCTTCTGCGCCATCTGGACGATGCCATGGCGCAAGGGCAAGCACAACGGTGCGTACCTGGGCGGCGACGGCGAGTGGCAGCTCTTCGAGAGGAAGAGAGAGCGGCACAACCGCAGACTCCCGAGGCTCCGCGCGGATCTCTTGGACCTGCGCCGGGGCCCCCCAGGCGGCCCGCCCAGCGCCGCCCCCAGCGCGGCTCCGCGCGCCGGGGAGCCAGGCCCAGCGCCGATCCGAGGCATCCGCGCGGGCCGTGGAATGTTCAGGAGGGGGAAAAACACACAGACACAATTCATCGTCGATTTCCCAGAAAATATGGGAAAATATGGGAAGTGGGGGGGAAGACAGAAACCCAGAAAATATGGGAAAATATGGGGAATCCTTTTATTTGTGTGTATTTATTTGTGTGTCCAAGGGCCCCTTCAGGAACGTATGTGCTTATGCAGCTGTTTCTTCCTCCCACTTCGACCCCCCCGTCGACGAGCCCTACGACCACAAGGCGGACGTGCTGGCGCACGTGTGCCGGTGCCCGGAGGCGTGGGTCCCGCAGCTCGCGGGCGGGGAGAGGGCCGCGTTCGCGGACCTGCTGCCCCTCACGCAGGAGGGCGTCGTGCTGGTGGACGACCAGAGGTCAAACTTCCGGAGCCCCTCGGGCGTCGAGGTGCTGAGGTATTGCAAGGTCTCGAGCAGTGGCGAAGCGTCCTGGCTTTCCTAAGGCCCCCCCCAAAAGGTCCCAAGAACCTTTAGTGGTCTGCTTTCGTACGTCGGGTTTATGTTATTGTTTTTGTTATTAGAGCATGTTTAGGTTCTAAGAGCATTTCGTGGTAGGCCTATAGGATTGCCAGGAGAGTCAGTCCCTGCTCACAAGGTGGCCCGCTACGACGCGGACTACCGCAGCTTCGGCTTCGTCACGGACATGGGGGGCATCGGCGCGCACAGCGACGCGGACTACGACATGCTCCAGCGCTTCGTGGAGGACCCGTGGATGTGCCGGGACTCGATGCAGGTCCGCTGCAACGAGCGCGCCTTTGTGGGTAGCGAGGGGAGGAATCCTGTGCAGCTGGTGGTCTTCGACTTCGACGAGACGCTCACGCTGGCTACCTTCATGCCCAGCGCCGAGACTCGAAGGACGAACAACCGCATGAACACAGACTTTCGGAGCTCCGCTCGGATTTCCTGGATCGGCGCTGGGCCCCCCCCGGGCGGCGCCTCCCGTGCCGCCCCTGGCGCGCTCCGCGCGCCAGGAAGGGGGGGCCCAGCGCCGATCCGAGAACTCCGCGCGGAGCTCAGAGACATGATGCTTATGCCATTCTTTGTTCCTCTAGAGAAGGGAGAGAGCGAGTGGTCCGAGGCCGATCTGCGACGCTACAACTTCGAGACCCCGTGGGTGCGTTGGGCAGCGAATCTGGGGTGCCCTGCATGTCCTCGCAGCTCCGTCTTTCGAGTGCGCTGGCGTGCTCCGGCGCCCGGCAATCGACGAGAAGGCGCCCAGCGGCGATTTGCGTCGATTCAGCGTTTGTTGGCGTTGATTCGCGTCGGTATCGGCGTCGATTCGCAAGAGCCAGCAGGATGGCATCGGAGGCTCCCGTGAGTTGCCACAGAAGGTGGAGGAGGGCAGCAGAGTCGACAAGCTCGGCGCGCTGCTGCGCTGGATCGCGGCCGAGAGGAGGCTGGCGGTGCTGACGAAGAACGAGCGCGGCGCGATGGCCGTGCTCAGCTTGCTGAGGATCGCGGGTCTGGCGGAGCACTTCAGCGCGATCTGGACCATGCGGGCCGACGGCCGGGGCGGGGACCATGGCGCCTACCAGGAGGGTGGGCGCTGGACGCGCTTCCAGCCGCCCGTCGAGAGGGTGGGCAACCACAAAGCGGACGTCCTCCGCCACGTCGTGGACAACCCCTCGGAGTGGTTCCCGCAGCTGCAGGGCCCGCAGAGGTCGCGCCACGAGGACCTGCTCCAGCTCCGGCCGGAGGGCGTGGTGCTCGTCGACGACGAGAGGGCGAATTTCCGCAGCTACGAGGTGGCCCCGGGCTCCGAGGAGCCCGCGAGGGTGCTGCGCTACTGCAAGGTCTTCCGCTACGACGACGAGTACCGGGACTGCGGCCTGCTCAACCAGATGGGCGGGCTTGGCGCACACAGCCCGGGTGTTGCCACTGGCGCGCCTGGTCCAGGGCGTCTGTCCCTCCGCGGCCTCTGTGCTGCACCCCTCGCCGGGGCCCACGAGGGCCTCTGGGAACTCCAGGATGAGAGAGAGAGAGAGAGAGAGCCGTGCACATCATAGGTGTTTTGGCATCGGGTTCGGTGAAACGTGTCGTGCCGTCAGCCCCGGAAACTGCGGCACTGACCTCTGCAACGGTGAGAAAAACTGAAGCCGCCTCGCTGGAAGGAAGAGGGGGGATGATGATGATGATGATGATGATGATGATGATGATGATGATGATGATGATGATGATGATGATGATGATGATGATGATGATGATGATGATGATGATGATGATGATGATGATGATGATGATGATGATGATGATGATGATGATGATGATGATGATGATGATGATGATGATGATGATGATGATGATGATGATGATGATGATGATGATGATGATGATGAATGATGATGATGATGATGATGATGATGATGATGATGATGATGATGATGATGATGATGATGATGATGATGATGATGATGATGATGATGATGATGATGATGATGATGATGAGGATGAGGGATGAGGATGAGAACGAGGATGAGGATGAGATAGGATGAGGAGGAGATGAGATGAGGAGTAGGAGGAGGAATGAGGATGGAGGATGAATGATGATGAGGATGAGGATGAGGATGAGGATGAGGATGAGGATGAGGATGAGGATGGAGGATGAGATGAGGATGAGGAATGAGGATGAGGAGGAGGATGAGAGAGGAGGTTAGGAGGAGGAGGAGGAGGAGGAGGGAGGAGGAGGAGGAGGAGGAGAGGAGCAGGAGCAGGAGCAGGACAGGAGCAGGAGCAGGGAGCAGGAGCAGGAGCAGGAGCAGAGCAGGAGGAGGAGGAGGGAGGAGGAGGAGGGAAGGAGGAGGAGGAGAGGAGGAGGAGGTGGGAGGAGGAGAGCAGGAGCAGGAGGAGAGGAGGAGAGAGGAGGAGAGGGAAGTGAGGAGGAGGAGGAGCAGGAGCAGGAGGAGGAGGAGGAGGAGGGGAGGAGGAGGAGGATGAGGAGGAGAGGAGAGGAGGATGAGGAGGAGAGGAGGAGGAGGAGGAGGAGAGAGGACGACGACGACGACGACGACGAAGGGAGGAGGGGGAGGACGACAATGACTACAGGACGGCGCGAAGAAAAAGCTGAGGACGCCCTGGGCCAGGCGCACTCCTGGCCCCCCCCGGGTCGGCGACTCGGACTACGCCGCGGTCAGGGCCTTCATCGAGGCCTGCAGGCCTTCCAAAAACGGGGCCCGAGCAGAAGGGGACTGGAGAAGATTGTGCGGCATCGCAGCTGCCTCGGCGATGCGGCTTGATGTGGAGCCCGAGTTCCTCCACGCCGACGGCGCCGGTGCATCGCCGACGTTCCTGGTGCCTCGCCGATGCCCTCCGACCCCATCCCCAGACATGCGACGTCCCCTGATCTTTTCCATTCGGGGTCCCCGGGAGTTCCGACCAGTTCCAGGGTCGGTCTTGCATCCCGTGCACTTTGTTGACGGTCCCGGAGCCCGGCGAGGGCCCTCAGAGGCCGAAACTTGCCGTGCCATCTCCGTTTTGGTTTTGTTTTTGTCCACGACGCGAGCATGTCTGCTGCAGTGGTCGGTTCGACGTGCAGCAGTTGCAAGAGTTGCAAGGTGGATGCAACCCACTTGCACGGCGCCTGGGTTGCCAAGTCCGTCTATCTGCCCCACGTCTGGGTAAGTCGCGGACCCAATTTGGAGCAGCCAGGCGGACTTGCAACCCACTTGCAAGTGCCTTGCAAGTGGACTGCAAACCACCTTGCAACTGATGTAAGTCACAGCGGTCACTGCAGTGGGTCTTTAATTACGGTCGGACCGAGGTAGAAGATCCAGGTCGGTTCGGGGAGGGCAACCTGCTGTTCTTAGGGATTGTAGGATGCTCTTGTTCATCCTGGGGGAGGGCACCCTCGAATGCTCCGCGTGTTTTGGCCGGCGGAGGGGTCTCATGTTCTCGAAGGATTCGACTGCGCGTAAGAGTGACCCTTCGCCGGAGTGGCATCTGGTGCGGGCCCGTTGCGGCCCCCCGATCGCAGCTCGCTGTGCGGTAGTAGCGTCTTGCGCGCTCGTGTGTCGGTTCCCGCGCGGCGCCCCAAATACCGCGCACCAGAGGCCACTCTTAGGCCACTCCTTGCGTGGCGCCGATGGGAGGGTGCCCTGGGGCAACAAAGAGGCACCGATACCACTACTCCCTGGACCTCTCCTGGGATGCGTTCTGACCCCGATTTTGAGGCGAAGCCAGCGGCGGCGACGAGGGCCTCCCCGGAGGCCCAAAAAGGGAAAGACGGGCGAAGGGTAGAGGTATTCTGGGTTTCTCGATAAGCGTGGGGGGGGGGGGTACCCCCCCTTACGGGGGTCAACCTCGCCTCGTCGTCGCGCCGCGACGGGGGTCGGAGCGCCTTCGGCGCGCGGTGGCTACCTGCGACGGGGGTCGGTGTGGGGCTGTCCGCGGGGGTGACGCCCCCCCGGCGCCTGTAAAGAAAGGAGCTCGGAGTAGGGGCATCTTTTTCTTCTCTGGCTGATGCTCTCCTGTCCTGGGTCCGGCCGTGCTCGGACCCCACCCAGCAGGAGGAGGGAGGGGGGGGGGGCAAGGAGAAGAGGGAAAAGGAGGAGGAGGAGAGGAGGGAGGAGGAGGAGGAGGAGGAGGAGGAGGAGGAGGAGGCCTCGCAAAAGGCCCCCTGGGACTACCCCTACGAGGGCCCCGCCGAGGCGGCCCCCGAGGCCCCCGCGCGGGCGGCCGGCGCCCGCCCTGCGGAGGAGCAGCTCCGGGTAGGTGCGGCTCCCGCTGCGGAGCCCGCTCGGCGCCCGAGCCCGTGGGGCCGCCGACGGGGCCGCCGAAGGGGCCCAGCGCCGACCTCGGCATCGCTTGGACGTGTGTGTGTGTGTGTGTGTGTGTGTGTGTGTGTGTGTGCGTGCGTGCGTGCGTGCGTGCGTGCGTGTGTGTGTGTGTGTGTGCAGTTGTTTCGAAGAAGAAGACGAATCATAAACATACTAATAGTACGAATATTAATTGACTGGTACTAGGAAATAAGAAGGAGCATACGACTATTGATCATACTGATGCAAGCACTAATAATCATAATGGTACATGAGCAATAAAAACAAGACTCGTTATCATACGAAGAATGCTACTGATATTTTGGACGAATAAGAAGAATACTAATAGTAATAATCGTACCAGTCATGATAATACCGACAGTAAGCATGATCAACATAAGGATGATAACAATGATGATAATAATACTAATACTACTAATCATACTAACGAACGCCAGACACAATCTTTTGGCGCTCCGCGCGGATTTCTTGCGGATTTCTTGGATCCGCGCAGGGCCCCCCCGAAGGCGCCTCCAGGGTCCAGCGTAGATCCAAGAAATCCACGCGGAGCGCCAACAGTTTCTTGTTTTTTGGTTTTGTTGTTTGTTTTTTTCTCCCTTCGGCGAGGGTCATCGAGGAGCAGATTGGATCGTCTCACGAGAAGGAACGCACGACAGTTTAACCTGCACGGGGGATGGACGTCCCAGCGATGGCGAGCGACAGTCAGGAGTTGGGAAAGGTACCCATGCCGCTATACCCTTCCGCTATACCCTTCCCCCCTCGTTGCCGCCTTTCTGGGCATCCCAGGAGGCCCTCGTCGCCACCGCTGGATTTGCCTCGAGATCCTGGTCAGGACGCACCTCAGGCGAGGTCTGGGGAGTAGTGGTAACTCTGTGGTACCTCCAAAGGGGGGCGAGAGAATGATGAGCCCGTTCGGCCGCCGAATGGGCTCGGGCTCGATCGTGAGTCCATTCGGCGGCCGAGTGTGGGCTCAGGCGCCGAACGGGCTCAGCAGGGAGCCCTGGGCCGGTGGTTCAGGGATGGGGTCCGAGGGGCGGGGCCCTGAGGATAGGAAGGGGATCCAAGGGTGGATCTACATGCTGTACGGCACCTCGTCCTCAGGACCCCATCCCTCAGGAACCCTTTTTTGAACCACTGACTGTGATGGGCCAATTTTCCACCACCACGGCCACATGCAGGACGGGGAGCCTCCTCCTCCTCCTCCTGCTCCTCCTCCTCCTCCTCCTGCTCCTCCTCCTCCGCCTTCCTCCTCCTCCTCCTCCTCCTCCTCCCCTCCTCCTCCTCCTCCTCCTCTCCTCCTCCTCCTCCTCCCCCTCCCCCTCCCTCCTCCTCCTCCTCCTCCTCTTTTCCTCCTCCTCCTCCTCCTCCTCCTCCACCTCCTCCTCCTCCTCCTCCTCCCTGCGGTGGGCGAGGTGGTGGAACGTCGGCCCCTCCGACCGGGGAGGAGCGGGGCGGCGGCGCCCGGCTGCAGCGCGTGCCCGGCGCGCGGCGCGAGGAGAGGCCCAAGGCGCCCCGGAGGCGCCCCGGGCGGCCGGCGTGAGGCGGCCCAGCTGCGGGGGCGGCATGTTGCCCGCAGCTTATGTGATCGCTTCGCTCATTCCGCCGGCCCTCGAGCGCTCTATATGGCCCAGCTGCGGGGGCGGCATGTTCTCCGCAGCTTGTTTCCAATAGTGGACGAACGCACAACACACACCCATGCTTAGGGGGGGGTCGTTGGGAGAAGGACTGGCTGTGGGTATGGGTGGGGGTTGTCGGACTGCACGTAAGAGTGACCTTTCGCCGGAGTCACCTTTGGTGCGGGCCCATTGGGGTTCCCCCGATCGCCGAACGCGACGAGACAGTAGCGTGTTGCGCGCTTGTGTTTGGTCCCCCCGCGGCCCCCAACGAGCCGCGCACCAAGGTCACTTTTACCCCGGGTCACTCTTGCATGTAGCCGAATTTTATTTTCAATAACTGACGAACGAACAGCACACACACCCATACTTATGGGGGGGTCGTTGGGAGGAGGACTGGCTGTGGGTATGGGTGCGGGTTGTCGGACCCTGGGGGACGCTCCCGTTCGAGCGGGGACCCCCATCCGAGAACACGCACCCATAGCCCTCTCCGACCCCCCTATGGGTATGGGGGTGTGTTGTTGGTTCGTCAATGATGATCGCGCTCTCGCCTGAGAGTTCCTTCCGATTTACTAGGGCGCC